TTCCCCGCTTTATTACATTTAGCTCACATCCCCTTGGTCCTATCACATTTCTGCATGACTGTCCACTTTTCATCAAACCTAACATCAAAACACTCAAGTTTAATCAGTTCTTCAGGTCTTCATTTCCTTTTGAAGGCTCCAGTGTCACGTAAAATATATTAAATAAATTTGTATGCTTTTCGCCTGCTTAATCTGTCTTTGTCACTTTAATTTTAGATCTAGCCAGGAATCCTAAGAGGGTTAAAGAAAACGTTTTCCTCCTCTACACAGTTTTCCAAAAACTTGGATAAAAAACTTCCTTTTCATTCATAGTATGATGTCAACATGGATTTGTGAAATGGATGCTGATCTGACTACAATTGAAGGGTCTCCTGCTATATACTGTCTGAAAAAGCATGGGATTTTGAGTGAGAGCTACTGGAATTGAGTTTCAAGCGGGAATACTCATCTCTTCTTCACAGGGTGACTGTAAGGTTTCACACACACACCCCTAATTTAATGGTTAAGGACATGGGTTCTAGAGTAAGACAGGCCCCATTCTGAGCCTGCTGTGACACAAGTCTGCATGCTCCCACACCTGGCCCGGGCCTGTCAGTGGCAGATGCTCACTGAATGTCTGCTGGGTACATGAACTAAGCACCCATCACAGGCTTCACCAAAGGGAGGCAGGAACGTTGTAATCAAGGACAAAGGTGAGAAATTAGCCTTGGAATGAAAGCAGAACATACCTTCATTAAAGACAGGAGCAGAGCAGAGGAGAGCAAAGATGGAGAGGGATTTTTAAGAAAAAAAGAGAAGAAATACTTGAATGAGTCTGTGCTACTTCGCTTTCTCACAAAAATGGGACAAGGACAATGGATTTCATTGTTTTCATCTCTGGCAAGTGATCTCATAGAGCTGAGCGAACATTACGTTCAGATTAATTACTGACAACTTGGAACATGGCATGTCTAGTCAACTATTCTCTCTCTGGCATTTTCTATTGTCTCATGAGAAATAAATAATGAGAAATCCCTTCAACAAATACAAGGCGTTCCATAATACATGCACGGTACTATGATGATATACTTCTTTTTCTGATGCTGATCCTTAATCCATAGAATGCATTGTTTCTGGAACTTTAAAATTTTAAAATTCTTTGAGTATCTTGCACTAGTTAGAAGTCCACATTTGTGTTTGTTGTTTTAGCATTTACTAGATAGTATCCTAAAACTAAACCCATCATCAAACTGAAGATACATTAGAGAAAAGTTAAAAACAAGCTAAACGTTAAATGATGTTGGAATGGGAAACCAGTATAAAGGAATACCAGTGTGAGCGACCTGGAAGTGCTGGACTAGTAGCTTCTGTTTCCATAGGAGTAGTGTTTTGCTGCCACCAAGAGGACAACAGGCATTCCTTCATGGAAGGTAGAAAACTAACGGAATGTGCAAAACTCACAGCAAATCCAGAAGCCTATATAAAGAACCCTTACAATTCAATAAAAACCCCAGATAACCCATAAAAACTGGGCAAAAGATCTGAATAGCCATTTCTCAAAAAAGGACATAAAAATGGCTAATAGCACATGAAAAGATGCTCACCATCATTAGCCATGAGGGAAATGCAAATCAAACCACAATGAGATTCTGCTTGAGGCCCACTAGAGCGGCTATAATCTAAAAGGTTATAGCAAGTATTAGCAAGGATGCAGAGAAATCAGAACCCTCCTTGTTTCCATTGCCTATTTATCCTGTTGGTTTGGGAGAGATTCCTGCCCTCAGGTTTCAGAGATGGTAGATTATTATGACTTGATTGAGAGAGTGCAGTGAGAGGGAGGAAATGGGGAGATGAGGAGAGGGAAAAGCTTGGCCAGACCATGTAAACCTTGTGGGCTTCCTTAGACATTGTGAAGTGTGTCCCGAGGGCAGTGGGAGGCCACTGAAGGATTTAAGCAAGGGGTCAGTTACTTCTCTGACCCACCTGCTATGGCCCTTCTCTCACTCCTTGCCCCAGCGGCACTCCCAGCACAAAGCCTCTGCAGGGCTTCCCACCTACTTGGAAAGCTCCCGTGCACACCTTCATTGCTCACGCCCTCACCGCCTCGAGTCTGTCCAAGCCCCGCCTGCTTGGCGGGACCTGACTCCCTATTTAACAGGGCAAAACCGACCACAGCACCCTTTAGCCTGCTGTACTTTCCCTTTTTACCACCGCACTACTGCTTCATATGCACTGTTTACATACCTGTATGTTTCTTGGTTATTAACCGTCTACTGCTAGGCTTCATGGAGATAAGTACTTTTGTTACTTTAGCTCATCTAGTCAAGCACACAGAATAGTGTCTGTCTCCAAATAGGTGTTCAGTGAATATTTGTTGAATAGTAAAAACGAAACTTGTTTTTAATCTTGGACTGGACAATGGTCATGAGTAGATGGAGAAGGAACAGCCACCCCCTTCTCTTAGCTCCTCTGCTAACACCCGAAGCCAAGCCACCAACTTCCCTTCCCCATCGTGCTCAGACACAGGCCTTCGTCGTCCTTTTTAAGCATAGAAAACCCTCCTTAAGGCCTTTACACTTGTTTCTTCTGCAGGGAAGGCTCATTCTCCAGATTCTGGCAGAGCTGGCTACTTCTTTTCATTCAGTTTTTCAGCTCAAATATAACCCCTTAGAGCACTTTTATTGACAAGCTAATCCAAAGAAGGGGACTCTCCCCCTGCACCAACGTTACCCTCCTTGAAAACCTAAACAAACATAATGCTAAAGTCATTACATTTGTTCAATTACTATCTTTCATCAGAACACAAGTTCCAGGAATGTGGGGTCTGTCCTTATCAATACTTTATCTCTCATGCCTAGAAAAGTGCCTACCATTTGGTAGGTGTTCAATATTTGTTACTGAAAGTCCAGGTCAGAGAGTTCAGAGCCTAAGTTACCCAAGTGAGAAGATTCTGTAAGTTCTCAAGAAGAGACTCCACTTAGATGTCAGAGACTAAGAAAAGAGGAGAGGTAAGGGTAGCTTCCAGGTTTCTACTCTGCGCTGCTGGGCAGTGAGTGCCTTTACTGAGGGCAAGGTTACGGAGGAGGGGAGGGACAGGTCCGGGAGGGCACATGCGTTCGGTTTTGACTTTTGGATTTGAAGTGCCTCTGAAATATCCAAGTAGACATGTTAAGTCCATTGCCAAATATTTGAGTCTAGGCTACATATGAAGATAAGAGTGAACATTTATAGATAAAACTGGGGGAATGAACAAGGTCAGCAGGGGAGATGCGTCAAGTGAGCTCCTCGAGGCTGGAGCTCTGTGGAACTCCAGTTCATGACTAGGGAGAAAAAGGAGTGAGAATGGTAAATGGAAAGAAGGACAGAGGAAGATAAAAGCTGCAAGACAGCCCGGCTGGGCGTGGCTCAGCAGTTGAGCATAGACCTAGGATCCAGGCCATCAGGGTTCGATTCCCGGTCAGGGCACATGCCCGGTTGCGGGCTTGATCAATGACTCTCTCATCATTGATCTTTCTCTCTCTCTCTCCCCCTCTCCTTTCCTCTCTCTGAAATCAATAAAGATATATTTTTTAAAAAAAGCTGCAAGAGAATGATAAGGAAAAACACCATAGTGGAGAGGGTTGAAAAGCCAAAAATATCAAAGATACACTTTAGAATTTTCATATAATATACAAAGCCCCTTTAAGCTGAGGCTCATTCATCAAAAATTTAGCCAGGTCAACTGTCTTCCCTAATAAAACTAGATGTTCTCAAATAAAAGAACATAATATTGAACTCTTTTAAACCGTCTAAAGAGTTTTGTTTGTTTACAATGAAACAAATTATTATCATAATTACTTTTTAAGCTGTTTTGTTTTACAACTTGCTTTTAGTGTCCATAAAAGTACATATTTAAAAATTCTGTTCTTTCAAGAGTTTGGGGAAAATGAGCTCTCATGTTGCTAGTAGAAAGCAATTTTGCAAAATGCATCAATAATTAAAATGTGATTACAACTTGACCCAGCAATTACATTCCTAGAAATTTATCCCAAAGATATTATTAGATAAATAAGCATGCAGTTTGTTTAAATGGGAAAATCAGGAAACACCTTAAATGCCCATAAAAATTAAATATGAAATTGGTTAATTATGGTACATTCAATAATGACAATTAACATTTACTAGGCAATACAATTTTCTAGGCACTATGTTAGAAACTTTCATGCATCATCTTATTTAATTCTTACCATAATCCCATAAATTAGTTTCTATTATTATCTCAAAACTCAGGGTCTGAGCACTTAATTTGTTCAAGGTTCCTGGAGCTGAAATTAGAACCAAACCTTAGTGCAGTGGCTGCAATTTTAACCACCAAGCTTTATTGGGGAAAAGGTGAATCTGCATCTTTTAATAAACAACGCAATCATCGCCTTCAATAACAGAATGTCATATATGACTGAAGGACAACACCCAACTGGGTTATTTTCACCAACTCTGCAGCAAATGTCTTGCTGTTACCACACTGCTAAAGCTGCATTGATATGTTGATATAAAATCCAACAAGGCAATTATAACTGAATTCTAAAGTGTCTTATAAATTTCTAGCTATCAGAGAAAGAACTGCAAATTGAAATGTAGCAGTTTCTTTTCTAGTCAGTATATTACAGAAGCTTTCTAATAATTCAATGATATGTTTAGGTACCTCCAGGGATGTTATTATGGTAAAAAGTATTTCAAGAAAAAATCTGGCATCATTTTGACAGAAACAGGTTTTAACTTTTTTTTTATATCATCTAGCTCGTATGAATAAAAATCTTTTTTTAAGTTGTTGGAATGAGTGCTATGATAGCAAGATTAAATAGATTATAAGGAAGACAAACAACGAAAGAGGATGGGAGGAGGGGAGAGGATCAGAGTTCCTCCAAGAAATCTCTTGTATGTTTAAGAAGCTAGAATGAGTCAGAGGCTATAAATTAAATTATGCCCAGTTCCAAGGGCAGAGAGGTGCGAGTTTGGTAAGTTAAAAATAAAAACTGACTTACCTTTAGAAGAGCCAAGGCTACATGAAAGATTATGTTCAACCCCTGAAATTTAAAAAAAAGAGAGTCAAAATCAACATTGCCACATCTACCACAATTTTATTAAGTATTTTCCCAAGACTTCCCCACATTATTTTCATATACAATAATAATTAAACAAATCATGAGATTTTTTTAAAAGGTATTTTCTTTCTCTGAGAAGCTTAGTGCAAATTTTAGGTGCTACTTAATGTTCACATAATATTATTGTTTTTACAATAAATCATTTTCTTTCCATCTATTTCTGGATTATGTGTATGGCCTAAGGCTTGTGAAAGTCAGAGTCTAAAATTATTCACTGAAATTCCTGGTCTGTACATCTGGGTGATGTGGTCAAACTATCAGTGGCAGACAAAACAGAACAAAACACAACAAATAGTGTTGCTGGTAACTGGAAAAGACTGCATGTGGGCAGTTGTAAGCATCACTGTATTTACATTACTGTTCTTACTGTTTTGTTGTTTAGTTCTTGGTTTCGAGTAGTCTTTGTATAACTAGACATGGTAATTAGGGCCTATCTGCTAGACTTGCTTTTCTTTTTTCTTTCTTTTCCTCCTCAAAACCCGAATGGTATTTCTTTAGGAATAAACAAATTAAATAGCTTCTTAAGAAGCCATACCAGAGCTGAACTGGTAACTCTGAGTTCACAATTCATTCTGAAAAGATGTTGAGATGTTAAATTCAAGAGAGAGGAAATTTGAAATGCTCAAGATGACAGAATCAGAAATAAGGTTGCCACAGAATATGCTGTTTCCTCGCCATGCAAGTCATCATACATCAGAAGAAAGATCGTTCAAGTAGGAGGCGACTGAGTTGACATCTCCCATAGCCCAGGGTCTATTTGACGTGCCCTTTCATCTTGGTCACAAATGTAACCTGTCTGCCTTTAGGACATGGAGCTGTATCAGGTGTATTATGCAAATAACTTCTAATAAACCATCCTTTTCCTGTCTACAAAATCAGAAGTGAGGATTAGACTAGGTACTTAGAATGCCTTGCTATTATAATTTGCTAATGAAATCTTTCACACTCAGCCATCAAAAATATGATGTCATGATGGAAGGGAAAAATGATAAACACAAAATATTTGGTTGGAGGTTTGGGGTTTACTCAATTAATTCTTTAAGAAACCAAAAGCAGTAGGAAGTAAGTATAATCAGGCCAGGAGACAAAAACAGATTGACGTAGTTCATCACTACCCAAGCAATGACCTTAGACTGGTTTTGATCACTATTTACCAATTAGGAAAAGGAAAGAATACTACTGGAGATCAAAAACTTGGGTTACGATTAAGCAGATTCTGCTTTCCTAAAGTTGCACCCTCACCCACCAACTGCTGCCCACTGAGGCCAAAACTTGCAGACCAAGAGAAGAAAGGCCTGCTTTGCCCCACACTCCTCCACCCCATATCACAACTGCTGGGCAGCGGTGCATCCTCACAACCTGCGTGCTTATCACCTGCCCTCAGGACCAAATCCACCTGGCTCTGTTCTTGTTTTCCTAGTCACTGCTCAAAATGTAAGCTTGTCTTGTCTCTGGTGCTCCACCCTCCTGATGCTCTGGTCCTTTCTCCCAAGCTTTCTCCCATCTTCCTCTCCTTCCTGATCCCTTCAGTGTACTCTTTGGAAATGCTACTCCACGTTAAACCAACTCTTCCATATTCTCAACCTCCCTCCCATTGCATTCTCAACACCCCCCTTTGCATTCACAGGAATAGTGAAATCTCACTGATTCTCATAACAACATGTAGTAGAATTCATATTTTTCACAATATGAACTTGACTAGCCTAAGGGTATAGATATGTTCAGCAGCAGGCTAGGATCACCCCATAAGCCTCTAACATCTAGTAACAGTATTTTCACCACACAGGGCTGGTGGAGCACACACAGCAAGTGCTTACTTGATAACTGAATGGCTGAACTATACTAGCTATCCCAAACTTTCTGGTATTTGTTTCTTTCCTGAGGGACCCAGCTAACCCAATTACAGAATCACCTGTCCTTCAATTACCTCAAAGTGAAAGTACTGGACAACGAAGCTCTGAAAAACACAAACAAGAACTTAGAAATTAAGAAAAAAATTAAAGATCTCTAAAGAGCTAAAATAGCTGTCACTAACACCAAGAGAAAAATGTATTCCAATTAGTTTGATTATATGATTTTATAGTTTATAGATATCAGAAGTAGCAAACTAAAACCAAAGTGTGTGCTAGATGGGATTAGGACAGAAGCCTGTAAGGACAGTTGTCAGAATTAAAATATTAGAACCTATAGAAATAGAAGATATACTTTTTAAAAACTATAAAATTTATAGCGACCTTGGCCTACTTAGTGGAGCCCATAGCCCTTCAATAGCTAATATCAGTTCATCATGATAATCCAGCAGCACTACTTAATGTTTACATTATGTTCAAAATACTGTGCGTAGGAAGAGAACACAGTATGTGTTTTAAATTAAAAGTAGATAATTTTTTTAAAGTTTGGAAAGCTAAAGAAATGACTTGCAGTTACCAGAAAATAATATATCAATGTAAACTCTTTAAACAAGGTCAGAATAGTCAGGTATTACTGCATCTGCTTGCATGAAGCTCTAGACATTATCCATAAAAAAAAAAAAAAGTAAGGACTTCACAGCCTTAAACTAAAGTAGAACAGTGTGGCCAGACTATGCAAAGATTCTTCCAGACCTCTGAGTTATTGAAAAACAGGAAAAACTTGCTAATCTACCAAGATCTTCACTTCACTACAAAATGAATCCTGATTTTTTAAGAGGAGGGTAACAAAGGCAACCTCAGTAGGATGTTTTTAAATATCTATTTTCTCTTTTAAATAAGACATTCACCCGGCCAGTGTGGCCCAATGGTTGAGCATCAACTCATGAACCAGATGGTCACGGTTCCATGCCTGGTTAGGGCGCACAAGTGGATTGTGGGCTCGATCCCCAGTAGGGGGCGTGCAGGAGGCAGCCAATCAATGATTCTCTCTCATCATTAATGTTTCTCCCTCTCTTTCCCTCTCGTCCTCTCTATGAAATCAATAAAAACATATTTTAAAAAATAAGACATTCACACTTAGGAATATAATTAGAGGTATCATTAAATTGCAGAAACCGTCCATGGGCCAGCATTTGGACAGTTTAAAAGCTACAAATCGGCTAGGTTTATGATGATGATGTCAGTGCAAGCTGTGGTCCCAGCACCCCACCCAACAATCAAGTGAACTAAGTGAACCATTGTTCACTCCTCCAACACCGGGAACTGAATCTAAATCCCCCATTGTCACTTCATTGTCCACCTACTCCTACATGATTCAACGTCTGCCTAACTGAGATGACATTTATTTTTTGAAATATATTTTTAAAAGAAAAAGATGTTATACATTTTCCATATGCCTCCCCTTTTCAGGAATATGTAACCTGCATCAATCTGTTTGCTACTGAGAGGGAAATAAAGCTTCCTAATAAGACTCAAAGGGTAAAAGATTTGGAGAGCTGTTAAGAGCAAAAACAACAAGTAAGCATGTTGTTATGGTTATTTGTTGTTTATAGTACAAGGTCTACCTCCAAGAGCAAGAAAATAAATAACCAGCATCCACTGAATATTATGTGCCAAGATCTGAATTAATTATATTGAAAACATGTCCTTAATTTAATCCCATGACAACCCTAAATTCCATTTTACACACAGGGAGTTAAGACTTAGAGAAGTCAAAGTCAGTTTCTCAAGGTCACACAGCTAGTAAGTAGATTTTAACCTAAGCAGCGCAACTCTACTGTCATACTCTTAACCACTAAGTTAGAGAAGATGGCTCACGGATAAGTGAATGAATGAATAAATCCCTTAGTGGGGTATTATTTAATGTGTCCTATAATTCCTAAAGGATTAAAGTGATTCCTTCCATTTCCAGGCAAGTAAATTTTGAGATCAAAGAGTGGAAAGGCAACAAATAGGTGACTTCTACCAAAGCCAAATTTTATTATTTGTCTCCATATAAAAAAAAAAAATCACAAAAGTAGCTGGCCACTTAAAGGATGTGAGGCAATAACCCAGCTTGTGGTGGAAAGGGTCCCTACCTTTCTCCAGTGACAACAGATTGAGATCAGATTGGGAAGCTGCTCTCAAAATTCAGTCACAGCCTGGAAAAATGTTCACTTAAAGAACACCTACGAGTAATTGCCCCAAATGAAATAATTGCTCTAAAGTGCAGATCACCGTGTACCTGGGAGGCCAACAACTGAGCACCCACAATCCTGCACAAAGGAAGGCTGAGCGCACAGCACACACTGAAACAGACAGTGTACACTGGGGCTCTGATGAGCAAGCAATCGTGGGCTCAGGGAGCTGACAGATTGCGTGCGAAGCTGTCAAAGCCAACACTGACAGCACCGAGAACAAATGCTGAAAAGGTGGTGTCAAAAGTGCCAAGTGTGCCTCAGCACCTGGGTCCTCAGGGATCAAAAAAGAGAAATCAGCAGTATATGAAGACGGAAGTCCTAACAACAAGGCCCGGAGAAATTATCAAAGCAGAAGTGGCCAAGGTAATCGGAGCATACGCACAGACAAACACGGCTAAAGCCAGAGGAGATGTGCGCTGCCCTTTCTGACCCAGCCAACACGGGACATTCCACTCCAGGAAAGGGAATGACGAAATGAGACCGCAAATAAAAAGCATATTAATGTACTGAGCACGTACTAAGTATTTGATAAATGCTAGCAATTATTATTAGGTTCACATATTTATTGCCAACTAGATCTTGTATTTTATATATTTTTTTCACTTAATTCTCTCAACAACCTTATAGCATATGTGTCACCGCTACCACTTTAGGGATAAAGAAACAAAGGCTCAGAGTCATCAGACTTAATAAACGGTAAAGCCAGGATTAGAACTTACTTCTGTCAGACAAAAAAAAAGAAACCCATGCTTTTCCCATCTAATTCCATCTCTACTGCAAATTCAGCATTGGTTAGATATCTGTGATAAAATAAAGAAGGTCACAATTCTTT